ACGTGACGACTAGCTCTGATACCAAATTGTTATGTGCCCGGGTTTGGGATCGCGTCACGGGACCGGAATAGGAGGAGACAGAAGGTTGCTCGGAGGTGTGATTGACGGTGTTGCTTGCTGGCATATATATGCTGCAGCCTGTAGTCGTGTAGTGTGAACAACGTGTGGAGTGGTGGAAGAAGAAGATGAGAATTTTTGTTGAGAATTCTCCAACCCCCTGATTCTAACTATTGACAAACTTTTTCTGATATTCACGATTGAAAATAAACCTTCTCTTAAATAGAGGAAGGTTGGTTACAGACTATAACTTCCATAAACTTTAACTGACAACTAAATGCCTAGTGCCCTGCTAGTTGCCTGAGGAGTAACTACCCACTACCACATTAACCAACACTAATTACTGCAAACAAAAATAATAATAATAGTAGTAGTAGTAGTAGTAATAATAATAATAATAATAATAATAATAATAATAATAATAATAATAATAATAATAATAATAATAAAATTGTGCCTCCAGTCTGATCCGCGTATGAACTTTCAGCCTTTTACCTATTGGAATGTATCAGGAACGCAGAAGATTCTTGAGCAGTTGGGCGGACCGCATACAGGTTAAAAAATACACAGTTGGGCCCCTGATTTTTAGGGGCCTGAGTCTTGGGCCTCTCCAGCCTTGAATAAGGCACGGGCCTGACAATTCCTTCAATCGATCGCCACTCTACTCTGCCGACCCACACCGGCAGAGAGTTTATATCCGCTTCCATGGATTCCCCTGTCAGCCTCTTCATGGCTAGTTAGATAAACAGATCTCATCTACTATTGAATCGCGTTCGTCGATCTACAACAGAAAGACACAAAGCACCAAAGACCTTCCATCGGTTCAGTAGCGAAATCTCCACATCGGTAGGTTTTCTTATGAATATATTCGTGAAGTGCATGTTTATGTTTCATACCAATCTATCCTCTGCTACTGATTTCATTTTCCATTCGTCTTTGATGGTATCGAGCGGGTATTCTACTCACGAACACCTTGACGGCCATTAAAGTTAAGTTTTATTTATTTTTTATTTTTTTCCTAATCTGTATGAAAATCGTTAGATTAAAAGATATCTTATTTATTCGTTTTTAATTGCTACAAGTAACAATTCTGGGACCTTTACTGTGTTTGACTTCAACTCGATACTCAAATAGATTGTTATTCCTTAACATTCCGTTCTTACTTTACACATGTGAACTAACTATTTTTCCGACAATTAAGAGCAATATTAACTAACTAATACTCCGTATGACTTAACGTTTAAATCAAAACAGTATTGAACCCCTAAATAATTATTTTTTCGATCCTCATCTCACTCAAACAAATACTCCGTCTATGCTAGTTGTTGAATTTTTATCATCCAAAGTCAAACAGACTGTTATTCTTTACATCCTATTCTCACTATAAATACGTTTTCAGCTAAATTAACTGTTTTACCATAACTATTGAAAAAAACTAACATAAAATACAGAGTATGATTTTTCTATAATTAAAGAGTAAACCTTTCTAACTAATTCAATTCTCCTTACTGTACACTCACATGAACTAACTATAAGCGGACATAGTACTAAAATCTTGCTGTAATCTACTAATCTTTTTTGGAAATTCAGCCCACTTAAACTATACTCCGTATTTTTCTAATGTTAATTATGTATTCTATTTCTCAAAACATGCCTTCTGCAAGATTCTTATCAAAATATTTTACCTCTAAATCATTCTATATACTACGTATATGCCTTCTCGGCCAAACAAAAAGCAACCATGAATCAAGTTGATTGTCTTATACATGTATACGCTAAAATTTGTATGTAAGCATTGCTAATCACTATACATTAAAGACAAATTTTAACCATACAACTAAAGTAATAATTGCCCTCACCAGATACAGAAACAGAGCTTCTCTTAGCTGTGGATTTAGTTAGTTTAACCATTTCTTTAACATTCAATCAAAAGTAGTTCTTTATCCTTAACCTGAAACATCTAAAAATCATTCGTTATAGTAAAATTACTTTTTTTGTTTGTAAAAGCTAATAAAGTAAGAGGTTTTCACATTTCACACACATAAGATGATATTTTTCATTTCTGAAACTAAGAATGAAAAAGAGGATGAGAATAGGTAGAATGATTGAGTTGTATTCATTCGGAAAGTGTTTGCTAGGTAGTACTACCGCCATCCCATTTAATGTGTCCTACTTTGAATTGACACAACTATTAATAAAGTGGTTGAAATGCCGTAGATCACATATTTCTTTCCAAAAAGGGAAATGTGAAATCTATTTTGGAACAACCGAGAAAGGCAAGTAGGGCAGGTAAAATGGGATGAAGAGAGTATTAGTTATAGAAAGATGAATGGTCTTTTCATAAAGAAAATACACATGCCCAAAATAGGTTGGTGAGGTTTGATTGGCTAAAAATACACTTATCCCAATGAACAAGCTGTTGAGATTTTGTTTGCTCAAAATACACCCATCCCAATGAACAGGTTGGCTAGATTTGATGGGATGTATCTTTACAAATTTAATTACGGAGTATATTTTATGTACTCCCTCCGTCCCATAAAATTCTTTCAATTTTCCTTTTTGGGCCGTCCCAAAAATTTCTTCCCACTTACCATTTTTGGACAATTTGTGTGGCTCACATTCCTTTCACCTTTTTCTTACACAACTACAACCATACATTTTCACTTTATTCCACTTCCTTAATATGCGTGCTAAGTCAAAGTTTGAAGTTTTTATTGGGACGGAGGGAGTATATCTTGTACACGTTCTCCAAGAAACAGACTGTCAGGGCTTGATTGTGGTTGTTTATAGCAGTGTTGTCAATCCCAGATAGCGGAGCGTAGCGGCAAGCTCCAAAAACGCTATAACGGTATAGCGGATAGCGGGATGACCGCTATTTAGACTACTTTCAAATATATAATACATTACATACACATTTTGAATTCTAAAAGTATGATATAATGATATATGCCAATGAAGGTTGCAAACATCTTATGTCTTAACATTCATAAATCCTAAATTACTTAGAAATACTCTTTAGTTTCATGAGCAAAACATGATATGCTATTAATGATTAAAACATCTCAAGTGCAAACATTGAATCAAAAACAAGGTTGTAGTTTAAGAGTTTAAACTTTTCCATTTCTAAGCTGGGTCAAGGTGGTCTCATGTGGGCTTAAACATGGCAGTAGACTCCATACGAGATAATAAAGAACTTTGTTGTACAAGATGAATAATGAGAAGAAGAAAAGAAGACTGCAACAATGGTTGATCTTCTTGTAGAAGATGTTGCAGCAGAAGTAGAAGAATTAAAGAAGATGAAGCAACAGATTCTACCAGTGGAAAGAAGTGAAGAGGAGTGCAAAGGTTGGCATTCTTGAAGGAAATGTCATCGCACAACAGAAAGAATGAGATACAGAGTATTTCAAAAGAAGGGGCGATTTGTAAGCGTTTGCACTTCTACGCACGTGTAGAAGGGTTTTAAGTTGTTAACCTAGCAGGACTTCGATTCCAAAAGTGCGCCGCTATAGCGTCCGCCTTCATCAAAATAGTGCGCCCGCTATTGCGTCCGCCTTCTCTGCTACACCCAAACACCACGCTACAGGTCGTCTGGTAGCGCAGACCTTGTCCTCCGCTCCGCACCTCCGCTATAGCACGCAATAGCGCTGCTATTAACATCACTCGTTTAAAGAATGCTCATTGACTAACTTTCATCAATGTTTCTAGTGTACATGTTGTCCTTATTTTAAAATCTAATTCTTTGTAATAAAAGTTTCCTCTGTAGCTGATACAAATTTTTAGTTAGCGTATTATATTCAGTTCAATATTTCTACTTTTGAGGCTCTTATCTTGTGGACTCGCGTTCTTCTCTATATCATGGGAATGTTTGGGCAGGAATACTGTTCACAAAACATTTTGCTTTTATATAATGATGATGGTGATAGATAATGGGGCAATTGATGATAATTGTGATGTTACTTTTACATTATTTTAAATATTTGATGGTTAAATTGTCATTAGAAAATGTTAATTATTTCCTAAAATAGAAATTAGAAAGAGTCGTGAGCACATTGGGGACATTTTTTTCTTTGGAATATGGTCTGGTAGGATATTTCGTTGTGATTACGTGGTATTTTAGTTAAGTTAAGTTAACAACTTTTGGACGGTAAATATTATTACAATTGTATGTTTCCTGCTAATTTTCTTTTCTTAGATTATTCTTTTTAAAACAAGAATGCTGTTTGCCTTTCCTTGTTGGGGGTTGAAAGATGAAAACTTATTTATCATTTTGGACAGATTGCTTAGGTTACATTATATTGTTAAGGCTTTCAATAAACTTTATATATTACTCCGTATTTAATTTTTCCATCATTTGCAATGGAGTCAAAGATTCACTATTTTTTGGCTTGAGAATATGATGGAATAAAGCAAAATGGCTCGCTAAACTGTCTGCGCTTCTTTATTGTGAAACAACAGTCAGTCCATGTATTTTTCGACGCAAGTTTCACTATGGGTCATTCACAAACAGTCTCTTTGTGCTTTAGTACAGGGACCCCCCTTACATCCGACCCCCCTTACCCCACCGCAGGTGGGAGCCTTTGCGGCACTGGGGTAATGATGAATGATGATGATTTTTTGGCTTGAGATTATGATGGAATAAAGCAAAATGGCTCACTAAACTGTTTGCGCTTCTTTGTCGTGAAGCAGCAGTCAGTCCATGCAATTTTGGATGAGATTTTCACTATGGGTCATCCGGAAACAGTCTCTCTGTGCTTTAGTACAGGGGTAAGACTGCGTACATCCGACCCCCCCTTACCCCACCGTAGGTGGGAGCCTTTGCGGCACTGGGGTAAATGAAAATGAAATGATGAAATGAATGGGGGGGGAGTAGCAATTAAAGATGCCGCTTTATGATTGCATGCTTTTGTTTGAATGAAGGGGTAGGGAAGAGCAGTAGCAATTAAAGATGCCGCTTTATGACTGCATGCTTTTGTTTAAACCACATATGAATGTTGAGGCGTTGATGGATCTGGCCATTAAGGTGGGGAAGCATGTCTATGGTAGAAATGGAGTCCTCACAGAAATAAAATCTCTCGGAACTGTCCAGCTCGGCTATGGCATTAAGAAGCTTGATGGGAGGTATTATCAGGTCTGTTTATTCATTTGTTAGTAAAACAACTTGAGCAGTTTCCGTTCACATTTAGTTACAGTTAATCAAATAATGAAAGATGGAGAATCTGTCTGTCACTGAAATAATGTAGGGGAAGATGATGCAAATGACGATGATGACACCGCCTAATTTCAACAATGAGTTGCATTACCTGAACAAGGAAGACCGTTTACTTCGGTGGCTGTTGGTTAAGAATCGTGGGGACCTTCAGCTCGATTCTTACGATCAATATGTACCTTTGAGAACTCAGGTGCACCAAGAGTTTAGGGGTGATGAGAAAGAAGACAGTAGTGATGAAGACACTGAGAATAATAAAACCGTCAATACTCCATTTTAAATTGTTGAACTAAAAAATAAATAAAAAGTAGCTCTGTGGCTGGTCATAGCTGCATTTAAGTTAAACTGGGTGAGGTTGAGGCATTTGCCCCCTTTTTGTTATTTATGTTCTGAAATGTGAAATGGATAGTCCCCCATGTTAGAACTTTGAACCAAGGAAACTCTCTGATTTATCTAGTGTACAACAATTGCTTTGATCATCTATGATGGTACATCGGTACCCCCCTCCCCCTTACTGGCCCACTCACCGCTGATTAAAATTCAGTATGATGTTTATAATTTTTCAAAAGTAATTTAGGGGGTGTATTCATTCAAGATTCTTTAAGACATTCTAGGATTTGTCAAATTTGGGTATATTTAATTAAGACATTTTATGAATCTCAAACTGTCCAGGTGTATTCATGTTGGACTAAGACATGAATTATACTTTACAACTTGGACTTATCGAGACTTTACACACCAAATACAAGGACAAATCCCATTTTCAATCTCATCCCTTCAGGTGAGATTTGATATCCATCAACGAGGAGGAGAAAGGTTGCCGCCATGTGTGCCCTCGGTTGAAAACTTTGGTGTTGCAGCAGGTCGCTGAAAAAAGGTCGCCGGATAAATTTGCCCTTACCTCGACTTCTTCCCCAACCGGACGAATACCTAACTCCACCGGAAAAAGGTCATTGGAAGTAGGGTTGTAAACGAATCGAACCGAATACTTGATAATATTATTCGTATTCGTATAATTATCGAATATTCGTATTCGTATTCATTTAAAATTCGAATCTTATTTTGTATTCGTATTCGATTCGTTCGATATATTCGAATCTTTTTCGAATCGAATTCGAATATTCGAATTAAAAAAACATTAAAGTTAATTTGTGAAAATAATTAAAATTATGATGTTAGTTTTCCCCTTTTAACTAATTTTCATATTACATATTTTATAAGAAACAAAATTCATTTATAGAAGTAACTTCAAATTTAATATCAATATAGATAAATCAACGGATAATTTTAATTGTAAATTAAGCTATTTCAAAATAGCGTCTGAAGGTGTATTTAAATGCTCTACATAGTCCACACGCACGACCCATATTGTTTCCTAGTTGTAATAGGGCTGGTCGAGTCTCTCACCTATAAATATAGGATGAGATGGCCGAATTAGCTTTTAAAGTCTCTACACATTCTATTCCGCATATTATTCTCTGTAGAGTCCATAGATTAGAATTTCTCTCTCTAGCTTATACGTTCGAGTACTGTGTAATTGATCTTCATGAATTCATCATTCTATATACACGGTATACGTTATTGGTGAGATTTCTCTTCTACTGTTTAAATTCTTCCAATTATTATGTATGGCAGCAATTATTATGGGGGGGGCACAACGATGGTGACCTTCATTCTCTCCCTGTGCTCCTCCTCCTCCGCAACTTGAACGGCGAGGGCCATCTCCTCGTCTTCAATGACCTGCTCGAAGTCCTCAGCTTCGACTTCAGCCACGAGGTCCTTCTGTACCTCCATGGCCATCGCGGCATCCTCCTGGGCCGAGGGTTGCTCGCTCGAGGACCCCACATCGGAGAAGCTCTCCTCTTCCATCGAGGGCTCCCTCGATATGTCTTGAGAGTCGCTTTGTGAAGACATTGTTATGCTAGGTTAAGGGTTTGGAGATGCTAAGTGCTCTAAGCTACAACTCCTAAGTCTAAGGCCCCTAAGCACAACTAGCTAAAAGGGATGAAGGGCAAGTGAGGAACTGACCTTGGAATCGAGGGCAGAAGTTTCTCTCTCTCGAAAATTTGGCAGAGCTCCGCTAACGCAATGATCGCACAAGGGGGAAGTGCTCTGGCTCTTGGGTATTTATAGGCACCTGGACCCGGGCTTGGGCCTGGAAACCGGGCCTCCGGTTACAAAGTCATCATTACCCGCCGACGTTCCACCCAATCAGTGGCACCCGCCCGCGGGCAGCAAGTGGATACGCGCCACGTGGAAGCCCCCCCCAATGGCTATATTTCTGACGTTAGGTATTCCAACGGCTCTATTTACAACGGCTATATTCTGGGAGCTCCCGGCTATATTCGGCAGACCACTCCTTCATCAGCCATGAAACTAGCCCCCGATCTTTCTATTTCACTCCACTTCATCAAGAGGAGCCCCCGGGTACACTTACCCAGAGATGCTCCCGGTTTATGCCCCTCATACTACATCACAAAGGCCTTCAGGCTTACTCCTTCAGAAGCCCACGGCTTCACAATGGGCACACCCCTCGGGAACCATCGGCCCTCAAACACATTGAGGACCACGAAGCCCCCGGGGGAGCACGCCTTCATCAAAAGGCGCCCTCCACTCACCAACGAATAAGGGACCCCTCGGCAATGCCGGAAACATCACCCACATTCATCACGCCCTCATTCTCATTATTTGGGGGCTCCCCCTTCGGCATCTCTGAGGCTAACAACAGGGACCCTACGGGAAATCAACACACGCGCCTTCAGACAGAGATAGCCTTCGGCAAAAAATATTGCACTCATTCCAAGCCAGGATTTCACCTTTTCGACTCATCATTGGGGGAATTCGGTGCACTCTTTTTCCCTCATTGGAATTTTTTCCCACAGGGTTTTTTCCAATGAGTTTTTTAACAAGGCATCCCCCCAAAATGAAACGAAAAGTGTCACCCCTCGGCTTCATATTACAGGCAGGCATTACTCTACTCCTTTTCACCACTTTGGAAGTGCCTCAAGGAGTGGGGGACTGGAGGACCCCTTCGGGAAAATCCCAAAATACAAAAAATGTCAAAAACTCCCACAAACAACGAGCATGATCCCTCAAGTCCTGGAATGTGGGTAACTGAGGGACTGCCCCCGGCTGAAACATGCACACAACAAACTACTCACAAACCCCACAAACTACAACGGAACAACACCAAAAGGACAAGCACAGATTACTCCTTTTCCCGCAAGTACCTTTCGGCAAAAGGAGTGAGGGACTCCTGATGGAGTATATGGCCCAGGAACCCCCGGCCCATAGACTCCTACTATTCTGATGGAGGCCCAATAGGCCCAGGGGGCACAGCAGGCCCAAAATACAGCGCCCCAAGTACTGAGCAACCCACGCAGCATGCTGGGAGTGCCTTCAACCCCCTGACCGAAGGCTCCAAATTCTCACAGGACGGCCAGCTCAGGCACGCAAAGTTACTGGGAGAAAACGGCGAAATTCAGTAGCCTTCGGCACCTAGAGCCCTCGGCACTAAGGAGGTCCCCGGTATTCAGATCCCTCGGCTAATCACCTGCAGTCGTGGGCACCTTTCTCGACATAATATCCACTCCACATGCGCCGAAATCACCGTACCAAGTACGACGTCACATCGAACAGCCGCATTAAATGCGGCCACATGCGATTGCCAGCGCCAACCAGTTGAGGTGACCCCTCGGCCAATGGATGCTTGACACGTGTCCCTATCCGGCATTTATTACTACTATAAATAGCACCCCATTTCCCCATTTGTAACCCAGAAGCAAAATACGTTGAATACATATCTAATATACACTCTCTCTCTCACTTACTCGCTCTGTCTTCTCTCTAGTTATTCTCCGCAATAACCCCTCGGATAAGCTACCCCCCGGGTACACTATCCATCAGATAGATTTTGATGATGCCACTATACTTTGCTCTTGTACAATGTGTCTTATTTACTTTTAGTGTCAGTGTTCAAAATTAATCATAAGTGACAAATCAATGTACAATTTTTGTGACAAATAAAAGAGAGATTTACCTAAATAAGACTAAAACATTGTGGAATTGCAAATATAGGACTCCTGTGTTTTATTTGACAAAAATAGGACTAAAAAGAGGTAATCTGACAAAACTACCCTTTTTAAAAAAGAGACGCACACCAGCGACGCACAACCTGCTATCCTTCACCCCATGGACCGCAAAATTGAATCTACAGAGCATCACTCATCCATCATCGATTGTGGCCTCGCACCGCAGCGCCTTCTGCCGTAGCCCTACACTCATCGGTGACCAGGTAGGTAATCTTTTCTTCTTCTTCTTCTTCTTCTTCTTCTTCCTAGTTTTCTGCTTTTTTAAAATTTTTTATCAATCATATATTTAAATAAAATTTTGATTTTTTAAAGTTTTAAATGAAGATATATCTGAACTTGAATATCTTGTTATCAATTTTGATTACTTTTAATCTCAAAATTCTATGATTAATAATTCCAGAAAATGTCACTTTTTGAATAAGAGAATGTCTAAATATTTGGTATTTTTACAAAATGTCACTTTTATGTCATTACAATATTTGGAAATGTCAATTAAGTGACATTTCTTCATGGAGGGCAGATCCTTTGTCACTTTTATGACATTACAATATTTGGAAGAAGAAAATGTCACTTTTTATGACATTACATTTGCTTAGGTGACAGTTTCAAAGAAGAAAATGACATTTCCAGAGTAATAAAAGTGACATTTTCGAAACAAAAGTGACATTTTCAGATTGTCATTTTTGTAAATGTAATGTCACAAACGTGGCATTTTTTTCTTCAAATAACCAATAATTTTGACATTCTCATAATATACAAGTGGCATTTTACTCAATAAATAAAATTCAAATCCAAAAAATCCAAATTAATAAAAATCCAAAAAATTCATAGAAGAAGAGAACGAAGAACCAGCAATTTGAGGATGATTAAAAGAAGAAGAAGAAGAAGAAGAAGAAGAAAGGAGGAGGAGGATACCTGTGGTCGACAGTGGAGCTGCGATGCGTGGCCATAGCTGATGGCGGAGCTGCTGTCAAGGGATGTGGGGAGCTACTGTCAAGGGATGTGGGGAGCTGCTGCTACGATGAATTCTATCGTAGATTGCAGAAGGGGGCCATCGATGTGCTGCGGATGTGCGTGGCCAGGGATGAATTGCAGAAGGGGGCAAGAGATTGGGGTTTCAATAGCAGGAGGGCAAAATTGTAATGTGGAGTCCTATTTAGGGAATAAAAAACTTAAAGTCCTATTATGGAGTTTAATCTAAGTTTTAGTTCCATTTTGGGCAATTTTTTCCAAATAAAATTATACTGGAAATTTAAAATGCAATAAGGTAATTTTTATTTACCTTAATAGGATATTAAAATCCTACCAGTATATATTTATTTAACACAAAAATTAATATTGTCACAGAAATAAGGTCAAAAAGGTACGAATATCATATACACTACAGGTGTATGATTGAAGATAAAATTTGATATGCATTTAATGCTAA